GCAGCAGGGCCCCAGTTTGGATCCCACATGAGGGCCAGTGACACTGCGTCCTCTACAGCTAAGATGGTGAACAACAGCTTGACCTGGAGCTGAGCTGCCGTGAGTTGCCAGTGATGGCGTAGACTGCAGTAGAGCTGGCCGGCAGCTGGCATGGGCTTTCGTGAGCTGCTATGAGCTGCTGTGAGCCGCCGTGAGCGGTGGTCCAATGGCCAGCGAGCGATTGCCTCATGCGGGAAGAGTACAGTGATAATACCAACATGGGCCAGTGAAGCGATGTCCTCCACAACTAGACTGAACAAAAAAGGACAGCAACTTGTCTGTTCCCCTTTCCCTATTCCCCAACGCTGTTCCCCTCCCTCAATTCCCTAATAAAATCTTTAAAGTAACAAAAACAAAAAAACCCCACAGTGATTAACAGTGTGATGTGGCATGATAAATCAGTGATGTAACAGTAATGACTTCTACCATAAACAGTCATTCACTGTGTGACAGGCAGTGTAACAGGGAGGCACGACATACACAGAACATCGCACCTGGTCTATGAGTCAAGTGTTAGTGTATCTACTTCATACGTGGAAACTGGTGTTGGAGAAGTTAACTAATTTATTTTAAAAATGCCACAATTAGTATTTTATACAATATAAAAGAATATAAAAGAAGGCCTCATTCCACATTGGAGATGCTAATCAGTGAGAATGATTTCCTTACTTTCTATTTTCTAGACCAGCTTTCCAGACACCTGGCTATTTTTTGTTTCATATCTAAATGAGTATTAGGTTACTTATTATATGTTTACATTAGGCCATTGTTTCCCTTTGAGGATTTTGCTGTTGTTTGTTTGTTTGAAGTTAGTTTGAGTAGATTTCAATCTCTTACAGTCAAATATTCCCTAACATACATGTCAAAATCTAGTGTCTTTGTTTTATATCCTCCAAAAATAGATAGCACAGAGCACATTCTAAACTAAAGTTAAAGACAATGCTACAATTTTAAGAAAAGGAAGTATGATTTAAGAAGTTTATCTTTCATATTCATTGAAAAAAATCAATAATATCTTCACTAATAAAACTTCATAGTTCACAGCACATAACTTACCTCTATTTTAGAGGACAAAAAAAAACTTAAAATCAATTATAAGAAATTATAGATGGAGTAGTACAGTATTTAAGCTTGGAAAATAAAAGCAGACAGAAATAAATGTAAATGAATTACATTACAAAACATTTGTGCTTTTTACATGTCACATAATATCATAAACAAAATTTATTATCAAACAACTAAGTAAAAAATACTTGCTAACATAAAAATACTTGCTAACAATCTGACAATTAAGTTCACGAAAACTCACCCTAGAAAAAGTGCTACATAACTCATTGCTGAAAATTACTATGGTCACCTTCCAAATACTCCCCTTGGTAAGCCATGCACCGACGCCAGCGCCTAGTCTACCCTTCAAAGCAATTTTGGAACTCTTTTTCTGGAATGGCCATCAGAGCTGTCGTTGTATACCCTTCATGTCCCAAACGTCATCAAAATGTCTTCCTTTCAATATTTCCTTTATTTTTGGGTAAAGAAAGAAGTCATTGGGGGCCAGATCAGGTGAGTAGGGAGGTGTTCCAGTACAGTTACTTGTTTACTGGCTAAAAACTCCCTCAAAGAGAGTGCCATGTGAGCTGGTCCATTGTTGTGATGCAAAAACCAAGAATTGTTGGCGAAAAGTTCAGATCATCTGACTTTTTCACGCAGCTTTTTCAGCACTTCCAAATAGTAAACTTGGTTAAATGTTTGTCCAGGTGGTACAAATTCATAATGAATAATCCCTCTGATATCAAAAAAAGGCCAACAACATCGTTTTGACTCTTGATTTGGACTGACAGAACTTTTTGATCATGGAGAATTGGCTGACTTCCATTGTACACTTTGACGCTTTGTTTCAGGGTCGTATTGCTACACCCATGTTTCATCACCAGTGATAACACGGCCCCAAACATTGTCTTACCTCTCCAAAAGGCCTTGGCAAACTTCGATTCTCCATTGCTTTTGTTCATTGGTGAGCTCCTTTGAGACCATTTTAGCACACACCTTTCTCATGCCAAGATTTTCAGTTAAGATTTTCTTGTTTCTCTGTCAGTGTTCACTTGGTCTGCTATGCTTCTCACAGTCAGCTGATGATTTTGATGCACAATTCGATGAATTTTCTCTTCAGTTCCACTCTTTACTGGCTGTCCTAAACTCTCTTCATCAGTGATACGTTATCTCCCCTCAGAAAAATGTTTAATCCATTTGTACACTGCTGTTTTCTTCATGGCATTATCCCCATAAACTTGGACTAATAAGTCCCTGATTTCACTTCTACTCTTGTCAAGTTTAACAAGAAATTTAATGTTAGTTCATTGCTCTAATTCTAGCTCAGACATTCTCGCAATGGCACACAAAAACACGTAACAATGTAATGAACGTCATTCAGTGAGACACTGCCACACATCGCCACAAACACAACTGTGAGACACTGATATACCAAGGTTATGAAACCTTTACCGGGCTATTTGTACAGTGCTGCCAATGTAAGCACATGGTGGCAAGTTCATGAACTTAATTGCCAGACCTTGAATGAACATGAGCTAATATGTTGCTATAAGAAAAAGGTTTACACAGTTGATAAAAAACACAAAACTTATAACAAAATAGAAATATATTATTAATAGTTCACAAAAAGCTAGTTAATGAAGATGTTAAAAGTTCAATGATAACAAAATATGCCAATGAAACTATTTTTCATCTATCAAATTAGTAACTTCACTAAAAAGAAATATTTAAGGGCTGGCCTGGTGGCTCAGTTGGTTAAGAGTTAGCTTAAGAGTACGAGCTCTGAACAGGGCCACTGATTTTAATATTCACATGGGCCAGTGATGCTGCGCCTGAGCTGAGCTGCCACTGAACTTCCAACAGGTGGCAGGATGGCTCCGCTGGTGAGCACATGCTCCTAACAACAAGACTGCCTGTTCGATGGTGGGCTATGCCCACCCACAACTAAGACTGGACTCGGCACCTTGAGCTGAGCTGCCACCAGATAGCTCAGTGGATAGAGCATGCATTCTTTTTTTTTTTTTAAAGATTTTTTTTTAATTGGGGAATTGGGGGGATGGGAAGAGTGCTAGGGAATTGGGGGGAAGGGAACAGACAAGTTGCTGTCGTTTTGTTCTTCAGTCTAGTTGTGGAGGATGTTGCTTCACTGGCCCAAGTTGGCACCATCATTGTGCTCTTCCTGGGTGAGGCACATCAGTCGCCGGCTTCTGGACGGCCGCTCACTGCGGCTGCTGGCCGCTCACGCTGGCTGCTGGCTACACATGGTAGCCCATGGCAACCCACTGCCACAGGGGCTGCAGCCTACGCCGTCCCCGGCGACTCACAGCAGCCCAGCTCCAGGTTGAGCTGTTGTTCAGCATCTTAGCTGTGGAGGGCAGTGTCACTGGCCCTCATATATGGGATCTGAACCGGGGCCCTCTGGTGTCCCAAGCCAGTTCTTAACCATCGCGCCACTCGGCCGGCCCGAGCATGCATTCTTAACAACAAGGCTGCCACATGGGATGGTGGCTATGCCCACCCACAAGTAAGACTGAACTTGGCACCCTGAGCTGAGCTGCTGCCTGGATGGCTCAGTGGATACAGCATGCGCTCTTAACAACAAGGCTGCTGGTTCGACTCTCACATGAAATGGTGGCTATGCCCACCCGCAACTAAGATTGTAACACAGCACCTTAAGCTTAGAGGCCACGAGCTGCTGATGCACAGCCAGATGGCAACTGGCGCCCTCTGCAACTAAGATTGAAGAACAACAACTTGGCTGATCCCTTTCCCCAATTCCCCAACACTGTTCCACTCCCCCAACTCCCCAATTTAAAAATAAAAAATTCATTTCTTTGTCAGTCATTATCTTAGATTTCTTATATGCATATGGCATAAAATTTTGATAGTAAAGTGTAAAAATATTTGCATCTAGAAATTCCACTTTTAGGAATACATTTGAAGAAAATAAACTTACACCTAGACAAAGCAAAAGCATAACAATTTGCATCATCATACAGTGTGTATGAAATAAATATTGAAAACATCATCTAAAAGTTTAAGTAATATATACTATAATTCCTGATGGAATATTACAAAATCAAAAATCATATTTAGGGCATTTTATTGCTATTTGTTATGGTTACAACAAAATAATAAAACAAACAGAACTGATTTTACAAAATTAATGAACTTTATAAAAATAAGTTGAGTTTATTACGGAGTTATAAGAAGGTTAAGAAATATTATTTCTTAAGTCAGAAAAAGTCAAGAACCATATGACTTCACTGATATCTGGGATACAAAACTGAAAGCAATAAAGGAACAAGACAAACAAATAAAGAATCAAAAACTCATAGACACAGACAATAGTTAAAAGGTGTGGGGGGTGATAGATGAGGGTAAAAGGGATCAAATACATGGTGATGGAAGGAGAACTGACTCTGGTGGTGAACACACATGTGATATTAGATGATGTATCAGAGAATTGTACACTCAAAACCTATGTAATTTTACTAACCATTGTCACTCCAATAAATGCGATTAAAAAAAAATGTAATACGGTATCCTGGGTGGGATCCTGGAAGAGAAAAAGATATTATGTAAAGGAAATCTGAATAAACTATGGACTTTAACTAATCAACTAAACCATTTACTAATGAACTCAACTTTAGTTGGTTCATTAATTATGACAAATGTACTATAGTAATGTAAGACAATAATAGGGGATACTTAATGCTGGGCATATGGGAACTCCCTGTACTATCTTCTCAATTTTTCTGTAAATCTTAAAAACTGTTCTAAAAAATAAATTTTATTAAACATTTTTTAAAAATATATTATTTCTTCATTAAAATATTTTATGGTTCTTTATATTTAATTTATTTTTTGCAATGAGCATCACTTACCTTTATGATAAAATAAAAAAGCAAGCATACTTTTAAAATAATTTTATTGAACATTAACAACAGTATGATAGTGGTTTTAGCCTGGTATTTGAGGAAGGTGGGCAATTGGGAAGTTTGGTACAAAAGTAGTCTTGATCAAAAATTGACTGTAAATAATAGATTCATAGAGACCATAATGCCTCCGTCTTCCTGGAAAAAGTAGAGAGAAGAAAACATGAGTAACTGGATTATGGGAAGTAAGCTATAAATAGAACTAATCTCTATTTTCACAAAAGGGCTGTGGTCCTGTCATGCCCAAATGGGGAGATCTGCACTAAGGCCTCATTGCCTCAGCATAGATGGAGCAGCAGTCCTAGTTGACACCGTGGTACAAGTAGACCTCATCACAAACCAAGAAGGGATGTGACCCAGCAAAACGGACTTCTTGGGGAGGAAGCCAGACACCAGCTGTACATAACGTGTCTGATTATTTTGTTTTGCACATGCATCAGAACTAAATATTTTCTATTCACTGAGTAGGTTCTTGAGAAAGTAAGGACTGAAGGGTTTTCTAGCTGAACGTATCATTTCTTATGCAACCATTATACTATGGCCAAAGTCAAAAAGGGTTTCAACCATTAAGAGAAGGCAGATCAGATGATCCTCAGTGACAACAGGACATGAGCACTCTGTCATTATTCTCTGTTCTACCTAGATTTTATGTATAGACTCTGAGCTGGGAGCACCCAAATCCATTTCTTGGATATATTTACCTGAGATGCTTCATATAAGTGTTAAATCCCAGGGAAGAGGTAGAAATAACGTGTCATAGTTACTCTTTCAATTGTGGGCATCTGGGCCAGTACTTCCACATTCTCAAATGAACGCTGGACCTAAATTAGTAAAAAAAAAACCTTTAGAGATTTTCCAAAAAGGAAATTTGGACTTCTCTCTCAGAAATGAGAAAACTTATAGTATGTATTAAGGCCATAGCCAGATAGTATAAACAGAAGAAATATTTAGCTTTTCCTTGGATACAGTGCATACATGAAGAAACTATTGTAGAACCCTCAAAAGTAGTCCCTTAATGGGCAAGGCTCTCAGAATCAGAGAAACTCACAGTGGTTCTATGTATTACTTCAAAAACTTCCTGTTTAAATAAACTGGGAGTACAGGAAGAAGCATCAAGAGGACTTAAAGGCTTCAGAATTCCCATAAAAGATTTGCAAATGGCTCTACAAAGTTTTCTGGGGCATAAAATTAAAAGGACAAGATGGTCCCTACCTTTCGAAAAATCTCCTCCAAATGATAACACCAAGAATATTCTTTCAAGTGGTAGATAAGTTGGGAAATGAAGAGAGAGCCATATATTTCCGTTCTCCAAGACATATTATCTGCAAATAAAATGTATTAAAATATTAGAGGATGTGGCCTTTGCTTGAGTGTAGAAGACTCCTAGAGTGATGGCTTTTAGACCAAGTTTGATTTTGGTGCTTTGGAGGAGAGAGGGAAGCCAAATCTGGATAAAGCTGGGGCCTCATGTTTTTATACAGCCCAGAGAAAACCATGTGGACCCTCAATCATATATACCCCCTTGACTTTCATAGTTAGCAGGGTCAAAGTTATGGCCCTCAGGATTGCAAGTACTGGGAAAGAACCTATGTCCTTTCAGCACTTCCTATATAGTAGAAAAAAAAGAAACAAGTTCTTGACATTTCTTGATTCTAGGCCTTCTCTTCATCTATACTGTTTCCTAGTATAATTTTTTGCACATATAGTTTTGTTGTGTGAATATCTTTTGAATTACTACTTCTCTTTTACCATTGCAATGTAATGAAATATCTCCTATTATAAGAAAGCGAATATTCTATTTTTCATTTCTCTACAAATCCCTCCCTATTTCTCCTTCCTTTTTTTAGTCAAAGTTCTCAAATGTGTCTCTACTCACCATCTTCATTTTCTCTTAACCTGCTCATTCCCATCTAGCTTCTCCCTCCCATACTGTATTTGTCACCCATATTCTCCAAGTCATTAAATCTAATGGCAATGTATTGGGCCTCACCTTTACCTGATCTCTCATTCACATAAGAAATTATTGGTAATGCCAATAGATTTTTTTTGCAGTAACTGTGACAACACATACTCCTACTTTTCTGATTCTCTGACCATAACTTCTGAGTCAAATTTGATGACAAATATTTCTGTCTCTGACTTGGAACTCTAGAGTTCTTCCAGCCTTACCTGTAGGATCTCTTCTCACTCTATTCTCTGTTCCTAGATAATTTCATCAATTTTTAGAATACTAAATAGCATCCCTAGGCAAGTATCTCCCAAAATTCTAACACAGATCTGTCCTCTGAAAAATACAGCTATGTAACCCTTTTCTCTTCATTTCATCTTGAAATACATATGCCAAAGATACCTCAAACTTTCTTGAGGATTCCCATTTTAATGAATGCACCATAGTCATACACTTAAAACCTATTATTCCTTCTTCTTCGCCTGCCATATCCACTAAACCATAAAGTCATATTAATTTCTATATACTAATTATTTCTTATATCCAACAACTTACCTCATTCCAAGACTATCATTATTACCTATGGCTTATAATACTGCAATACCATTTTAACCTACCTCCCTATATCTACTCTTCTTATATCCATTGCCCACAGAATACCCAGAGTGATTATTTCAAAATGGAAATATTATCATTTCCTTGCTTAAATTTTAACAAAATTTTGATTACTATTAGCACAAAGTAATGTTAGTAATAAACTATATTGACATATACTTTATTCCTTAACATATGAGGCCTCAAATTGTGTGGCTCCTGCCTGCCTCTCCAACCTCCCTCTTGTTAACCCTCCCCTGGCTCCATGCTCTAGCCTCACTAGCCCTGTTTTCCAAGCTCCTTTCTTTCTCAGGCACTCTGTGTACACTTCTCTTTCTGTCCACAACGTTCCTTTCTTACCCTTACTGTGGTTAACTGCTTCATTTTTCAAATTTGAGTACTAACTTTCCTTTAAAGCACTTATCCCTGTTGACAATCATTTATTTCTGTTATGTTGTGTGTGTTTTTTCCCCAATTAATTTCTGTTTCTCTGGCCTGCCTGTACACTCTGTAATTTTGAGTAACCATGTCTGCTTTATCATATGCCCAGTCCTAGAACATAGTATGTGTACAAAAAAATGAATGCAGAAATTTCATCTATTAGACTTCATTTTCTCAGCTAAATTAAACATATGTGTGTCAGGCCATATATGACTTTTAAACTACATTTAATAGAAAAAATATAAAGCTCTTCTTTTAAATATGTATCCCCTAATATATAAAATAAACTGAAGTAGAGCTCTTCCAGCTGTGCAGTGGGAGTTGCCCGCATGGCTTTCTTCCTATTATGCAAGACTAGACTCAGAGGGTACTCCAGTCCATTGCTACTCACATATGGTCATGGACCAACAGCACTGCCATCACCACGGAGATTTTCAGATAGGCCCTATTCCAGACCTACTGAATCAGAAATCTACATTTTAATGGGATCCCCAAGTGATTTCTATGCACATTAAAGTGTGTGATGACTACACTAGAGCACTTAAAACTGACTTGTGTAAACTAGGATTTTAAAATTGCCCTTGTTATGTAAATGTTTGCTGAAACAGTATCATGGATGACTGTTAAATAGATTTCCTACAGGCCAAACCACAAACGATAAGGAATATCTACTTTTATTACCTCCCACTGTGATTTTCCTATCAAAGAAGGATTTTCGGTCACTGGCTGCATTATCCTGAAGGCAGGCATTTGAATGTTAACTTATTTCCTTAGACTAGATTCAAACAATAAGCCAAGAGTTTCCATGATATGTGGAGCAAGTACTACAGTTTCCCTGGTTGGCTCATTTAATTGCTTGTAGATGATCAGGTGGACCAAGCCATGAGAAGATAATACATTTCTGTGCCATGACTATACTCAAACAAACAAACAAATAAACAAAAACAAAGTAAAACCTTTTATTTCATTTATAGATAGACTACTTTAAGTCTTTGGACCCTCTCCAAACTCCTGTTTAGTTTGAAAGTTTCCTCCAAAATCAAGACTTGCACAGTCTGACAATTAAGTTTGCAAACTCATCCTAGAAAAAGTGCTACATAACTCATTGCTGAATATCACTATGTTCACCTTTGAAGTACTCCCCTTGGAAAGCTATGCACCAATGCCAGTGCCTAATGCACCCTTCAAAGCAAGTTTGGAACTCTATTTATGGAATGGCCATCAGAGCTGTCATCGTATTATCCTTCATGTCCTAAATGTCATCAAAATGTCTTCCTTTCAATATTTCCTTTGTCTTTTGGTAAAGAAAGAAGTCATTGGGGGCCAGATCAGGTGAGTAGGGAGTGTGTTCCAATACAGTTATTTGTTACTGGCTAAAAATCCCTCCCAGACAGTGAATGCCATGTGAGCTGGTGCATTGTCGTGATGCAAGAGCCATGAATTGTTGGCCAAAAGTTCAGGTCATCTAACTTTTTCACACAGCTTTTTCAGCACTTCCAAATAGAAAACTTGGTTAACTGTTTATCCAGTTGGTGCAAATTCAGAATAAATAATCCCTCTATATATCAAAAAAGGTTAGCAACAGTGTTGCAACAAGTTCACGAACTAAATTGTCAGCCCCCATGTAGCTTTCTAGTTATGACAATTTCAATATTTTAAATGTCTTTTCCACCTAAAATATCTCACTAGGGAGAAACTGTTCTTATATTAGTGATAAAATGTGACCATAGCCAGGTCTGTGATCTAGGAACTAATAGATTAAAAAACTGTTCTCTCTGAGTCACTTACGTGGAGTTGAAGATTTGAAAGCAATGAAATCCTTTTCCACATGGGTCTGTGTAACAGCATCACTCCAGAAGTAACACTGAAAGGTATGGTCATATCTACATGCAGGAGCTTCTCCTGAGTCAGCCACCCAAGTAGCCCCAGTACCTTCTGGGAGAGACATCCATGTCATATGAAAGATCTTATATTCAAACACATACACACACAAAATCTTTCTTACCATTGTTTCTTTACTTCAGTACATTTCAATGTTGCATTTATTAAAAATGCAAGTATCTTACTACTAGAAAAACTACCTCACTGACTGGGAACCATACAGAGCCCACTTAAGTTTAGAGTAAACTTGCTGACAGCCTAGTCCCAAATGACAGTGGCAATCCTAATTATTCTAGGCTACTTATCATTACTTTAGGAATGATACAGATTTATTACAATTTCTGGACTGGGCCTAAGAGTAGTATTAAAATGTTGCTTCTTTCACCCATCCCTAGGAATGTGAAGGCTAGACATCAGGCTAATAGAAAAAGTGCACATCTACTCCCTGGGTTTCCCCAACTCAGACTCACTGCCTCTGCAGGCTTGCGTGATGATGACTTTCGGTTTGTCTCTCAGATTCTGGCAGTTACGGTTGTTGAAAATTCGGAAGATGGTATCATCGTGAAGAATATCTGGCTTTTCCTTTTGGTGCAGAGTCCCATAGATTCCTTCCAGGGTGCCATGTGACATAAACACCAGGATTGTGCTGTCTGAGGATTGGTGCTCTGGGCGGGCAGCAAACTCCCATAGCACTTCTTCCATTTCCTGAAAGAAACTCCAGAATTACTATTAAGAAACTTTCCAGACATAGTTCATACTCAAACAGTAGATGGAGTTTACAAAAAGGAGTAGATACCAAAGAATCAGGTGATTTGGACTTAGAAAGATGCTGGGAGATGAAGTAAAATAAGGGGCAAGTTAGATGACAAGTCTCCAAAAAGAATGTTTTGCTTTCACCTGTTTTATATGTTGGCGCGCCCATAAATTTTTGTTGAAAAAGACAGAGAGAGAGAGAGTTTTCTGCTGACAAAAATTATCAACACTTAACAAATACAGTAAAACCTTGGATTGCGAGTAACTTGTTCTGCGAGTGTTCCACAAGACGAGCAAACATTTCTAATAAATTTTAACTTGATAAATGAGCGATGTCTTGCAATAGAGTAGTACGTGACACCGAACATCACATGATCACAACTGAGCCAATGTTTCTTCTCTCTCTTGCTGCGGGATTATGGGTGATTTTCTCCCATGCTTGGAGGTTATGGAGGAGATCTCGTCTACAGAGGAGGAGGAGAAAAAGGTGGAGGAACCCCTCACTTCAAATGAGATTAGGGAGATGTGTAAAATGTGAGAAATAGTGCAAAATTTTGTAGAAAAGCACCACCTGAATAAGACTGTAGAAGTGCGAGCGATGAATCTTTTTAATGACAATGCAATGTCACATTTTCGCAAAATCCTCAACAGGAGGTAAAATCATCATTGGATAGGTTCCTTGTTAAAGTTGCATGAAAAGAAAAAGATTCCATTGAGCCAATAGATAGCAGTGATATCGTGACAGTGAAAGTCATCCTACACAATAACCCTCCTCTCTCTTGTCTCCCTCACACCAGCTACGAAGGTTTTCAAAGGTAAGTGCAGGTGAATTTATTTTTCTTTATATTTTGTATTTTCTTTATTATTTTGTATTGTATTACAGTATTGTAATCATCTTTATATTAATATTTTTGGGTTGTGGAACGAATCATCAGAGTTTCCATTATTTCTTATGGGGAAATTCACTTTGACATACAAGTGCTTTGGATTACGGAACAAATTACGGAACATGTTTCTGGAACAAATTACATTCACAAACCAAGGTTTTATTGTACCTTCATCAGGAAATCAGGTTTAAAATGGTTTGTATAAGGTCACTCAGCATATTTTTGGCAGAGACAGAATAAAAATTTTGTCTGTGTGTGTGTGTGTGTGTGTGTGTGCGCGCATGCGTGCGCATATATAACTTTTTTTTTTTTACTGCGTACATGGTTTTACCTTTAGACACATGATATTGAAATGATAAAAGTCTCATGAGCTCCTTCTATAGGTATCAGGTAATTTCAGGGCCTAGATCTTTCATCTTACCCAGACTATCAAGTAATAGATGTCTTCCAGATTGAGGCCTTTAGAAAAATCCAACATTTTTTTAGTGAAACACTACTACATGGAGCTGCTTTAAATCTTTGATATGAGGATTATGCACTGGAGGACGCTGAAATCCAGAGGATCCTATTTTGGAGCAAATATAACTCCTGTAACATTCACTTTGTTCTTACAGCTGCTAAGGAAGAAGTTCTAAATGGTTTAGGAGGGAAGGAAGATGATCCCACTCTCCTGAGTCATTACCCGAGCTGTGATATCCTCTTTTACAACCACTGAGTAGCCAAGGTTTTCAAGCAGTTCTTTCATCCCCTTAAGGTCGATTTCAGAACTATCTCGGTAAGAAAGGTGTTTAAATTCTTTGTTGCAGATGATGAGGGCCAGGCGTGTTCTGCCCTCCTGCTCCATCACTGGATATATCTGCAATTAACAGGCACAGAGTGAGTTGTCCCAGACCCCCTCCCTTTTGCCTCCAAAGTCCACACAAAACAGGCCCTTACAATTATAGAGTGGATGACTGGAGAGCTTGGGAATAGGAATATGTCCTCATGAGGAAAGAGGTAAGAACACAAACGAGAAACATGTACTAGAAACCTGGTTTTGGTTGTGTGATGGATAGGAGTTTAAAGTGTGTTCCAAGATGTAATGGAAAAGACAAAAATGTCATGTAAGGACAACTTAATTAGATAGCATCCTATAGCATTTGGCCTGATCTTAAGGTATTTACAACAAGAACTAAAATTCCCAGTGAATCCCCATGTCTTGTTTAAGTGGGCAAATTGTATGTCTCTGTATTCCAAAGCATACTACCTCATCCGCCTTGGTTGTCTTCATTCTGTGGAAATAATCATAAGAACAAAGCTTCAACTCAGGACTGGGTTCAAAAGCCTGGATTTTCTGAGGAGCTAAAGGAGAGAAAAAAACAACAAACTCATTAAGCAGTACCATGCAATGCCTTACAATCATATAGCTCTTCTGATTGGGTTCTCATTCTTTGGCAATACTTACTACTATTCCACCAAAAAGCTAATATAATAAGAAAATCATGTCATATTTAAAATGACTAAAACAAAAACTTGAGCACTCACCCTTTTCTTTCTGCTTCTTACTAACCCCACCATAAATTTCTGTTTTATGATAGTTGGTGGTCACAGCATTGACTAATCTTTCAAACCCAACACATTAGACTCACATAAACATGGTATCTAAGGTTTGGAAGGAAGCCTAATATTAATCTACCATAGTCAAGTCATTATCCAGATATTTAAACTCCACTAACAATACCCCAATTTATTATTACCACTCTCTGAAATATTTCCACTACCAGGGAACTCACAGCATTCTAAAGCATTTTAACAGTTCTGAGTATTATAAAGTGTGAACCCTCTAAGCATTGTTATGTATTTCCTGCATTGGGACCACACAGTAAAATTTCTTTCCCTGTGAAAGCTCATGAATTCTTCTATGCCTTTAACATCTTCCCATTATTTTATGTAAATGCCCCATATAAACAATTATTGTATTTTATCTTAATTGTATTTATTGTACTGGAAGCTTAATTAAGACAAGGAAGATGTTTTTAATGTTTGTATTTCCATTGCCTAAAGTGATATATGGCCCGGGTTAAAAGTTTGTAACTAATTATTAATGAATAGTTATCTTCAACTTGAAAATAGCTACCAAGCATCCCCTCCCTCATGTTGTTTCCCCTTAGGGCAACAAGGCTCTATTCCTTCTAACATTTTGCATAAGAATGGTTTCATCTTTTTAACCAAAAAGTTCATCTACCACTCTCTCCCCATCTACTTTATTTTTCCTCCCACTACAAAGGAAGACATGTTTTTGCTCCTATGTAAGGCTAATACCTCTCTTTATGCTCTGAGTTCCATTCCGTCTCACCCACAAGGATTTTATTAAGGCATTTGTGCAGCCCTGTCTTCTACATCATCAATTTCCCCCACTCTTCCTGCTGTGTTAACCCCATTGACATATCAGCATGCCTTAATATCAGTTTATCTTTTAAAAACACCTTCCCTTGACCACATGTCCCCTCCAGCTGTTGTCCCATTTCGCTGCTCCACTTCTCAGCATAGTTCCTTAAAGGCTTTGTCTATTTTCACTACTTTCAAGTTTTCAACTCTTGTTTTTTCTTATATGCAATATAAACTGGCTATTACTCTCACCACTTAAATGAAGTACTTGTTATCAAGGTTACCACTGACCATTTTTTGCTTTTTTAGCATTTAACATGGTTGAATACAGTTTGTTTCTTGAAAAAATGTTCTGTCGGCTTTTGTGATGCAGCATTTTCCATCCATTCTTTCTAAATGTGTCTCCTCTGCTGTTCTCTATCAACATCTCTCCCCAGACAGCCTCTTCCAGCTCCATCATCTTATATGCTCTCTACATGCTGATGAACCCCAATATGTATTCCCACTCCTGATTCCTCTGTGAACTCCTCATGTGAACATCTACCTGTTTATGCAACATCTACCTTTGGCTGCAGCACATGTTTCAAACTAAACATGCACAAAGAAGGACTCCTGATGTTTGTCTACTCTTACAAATCTGTTTCTCCTGAGTTTTCTCTCAATCACAATTTTTTTTTCCAATCTCAGCAATTGGTACCCTTCACCCAGTTGCCAAGCCAGAAACCTAGAACCATCCTTGCTTGAGTCCTTCATTTCTTTTATCAGCCCACATCCAATCCATCCTTAGTTTCTGCTGACTCTACCTCCAAAACAGACTCCAATTTTAACTACTTATCATCATCTACATCATTACTACAATGCTAATCTAAAAGCTATTGTCTCTTAACTGCAACACGTAACAGCTTTCAACTAGCCTTTTTGACAATGTTTATTAGTCTGCTTCAAAACTGCTTGAAGGTTTTGCATTGCAAACCAAATCCCAATTCTTTCCCACTCTCTAAAAGGCCCCAAATGGTATGGTAGCAATGGTCTTTTTAGCAGCTCCTCCAGCCATGCCGCCCCTAATTTCCGACTGCCTAGCCAGATTGGCTTTTCCTATGACCCTGTTACATGACAAGATCTTTCCACACTCAGAGCCCTTGCTCTTGTTTCCCCTTTCCATGGAATGCTTTTGCTTTGGAGTTCGGCACAACTCCCACCCTATTGTTCAGGTACTTACTGGAATATCACCTCAAAAGAGCTCTCATAGCTGTCCACCCTGGCTCACGTGCCTCCCCCTCCACCCCAACAACAACATCTCTTTCTATGGCCTAATTCTCTTTTCTCCTGTATAATTTACCTGAAATTATACTATTTAATTTTTGCATGTTTATTATATATCTACCCTCACTACACTGTAAACTCCATGTAGACATGATTTTTATATTGCTTACTGCTATAAACACAGTAATTAGAATGGCATCCAATAGGTTTTTCAATTAACATGTGAATATACGTATCATGTGAATGGACTAGTAAAGGTTACTTTTTATTATTCCTTCGTCAGTTTGTCCAGAACTTTTGAAAATATGGCACTCAGAAGACAACACTATCACTACTCTCTTTCTAGATACTATCACTTTTTAATGTGGCCCAACAATTCATCAGTGTCTTTGGTGACCACATTGTATGTCTGATTCACAGTGTTTTTTAAACATGTATTTTTCTTAACCACATCTTTATTCTGTTTTGTGTAGGTGGTATTTGCTTGTGTCTTAGATGTTTTATGAATCCCTTTTTTTTCGTTTTAAACTGCTTTATTTAAGTGTAATCACAGCATGTTTGACATCAGTTCCTTGAGTTTCTACTGTACCATCTGACACAGAATTTCAGAGTATAGCATCTTCTTTTCATTTACTTGCTTCAGAGACTGCACTTTTTACACCCAGTGTATGATGCTTGCACTGAAAATCTTATATGAACCATAAGTTCTTGCATAATAGTAGACAGTTGTCTCAGGCATTTTTTCCCTGTATTTACTTGTAATATGCATAATTTGATGTGATTATATATTAAGTAGATATATAATTTATTCAGTACTTGTTTTGGAATGACATTTCTTTTTTAAAATTTTTATTTCTTTGAAGATGTTATTAATTCCATTTAAAAATATGAGCGATGGAAAGGTTGGAATATATACATATCAGAGAATATGGTTAGTCAGTGGCAGATGGGCTCAATGTAGAGATTTCTTGAGTATACTCCATTTCTCTTTCCACTGCACCGTAGGGTCTTTCTTATATGCCTTAGCTCAAATAATGTCATTTTGTGTCAGAGGTAAAACCAATGTCTGGAACAATTGTCATGGTCCTCAGTTTCATCATATGCACTTTCACTTCCCAATTTTTAGGAGAATTGAAGAGCAGGGATGTATATGTTAATCTTACTTTTGAAAGACTTTTTTAGGGGCAGAAGGGAGAAATACCCAGATTTCCTGAATCTAAATTCAATGGTCTTAAATTTAGTGGTCTTTCCAATATAACATATGGCCCGTAGATAGCTGCCTTACTGCAAGTGATGTATAAGAATTTCCACGAGCTACTGGATTCGGAGGGAGTTACCTGATGGAGGGAGAGCCAATGCCATGGCTGATTCAGCTTTTTTCTCATCTCTATTTTCTTCACTTTCATCTTCAGATTCTGAAGTGGAATGAACAAAAGGTTAAGGATCAATGTTCCGCAAGTGATGTATAAGAATTTCCACGAGCTACTGGATTCGGAGGGAGTTACCTGATGGAGGGAGAGCCAATGCCATGGCTGATTCAGCTTTTTTCTCATCTCTATTTTCTTCACTTTCATCTTCAGATTCTGAAGTGGAATGAACAAAAGGTTAAGGATCAATGTTCTACTCTGAAGGTTATTTCCAAACATGAAAATTACTGAAAACATAGGTTTCCTAACTCTTTACCAGAATGCATTCTGACAACGCTAGAAATCTAAGAGTTTTCACCTGTGATGTGAGATTTGGAGGTACTTACCTGCTGAAGAAGAAGAAGATGTCTCACTGTTCTCAGATTCATCATCCTCACTTTTAGAATGAGAGTCTGAAATAAAATGAAAAAAAGACAAAATTAAAAAATTTGTTAGTAAAGCCGAATATCTAGAACCTACCCACTTCAAACTCTTTCCCTTGCACTGGCAAGGAAATGACTACCTTAGCATGGGGATACTGGATGAAGCATGAAGATTTGACTCATTCTCTAAGCTCCACGTTTGTTTTAGAGGACTATAACTTTCTGCCAAGTGACGGAGGAGTCAGAGTTTCCATGAAACAATGAAGAGATCATTACCTTCCTGCTTATGTAATTCAAGGAATAATCAAATTATTTAATCAAGGCTTTTCTGCAATAGCATTTTTCATTTTGAGGAGGTAAACTACATCTCTGTACAAAAGATAGTCTTTCAACAACAACAAAATAATCCTCGAGGGGTGGTCCAAGGATTTGGAATGTGCTTATATATATATATATATATATATATATATATATATATATATATATATATATTTTACTCTGGAGTAAGGGTCAGCAAACTATGGCCTGAAGGCCCAATTCAGCTGAACACCTGTTTTTGTAATATAAAGTTTTATTGGAATATATCCACACTCATTTTTTACATATTATATATTGCTGATTTCATGCTACAACAGCATATTTGAGTCATTGTGACAGAGACCACATGATCCAAAAACATTAAAATACTGTCTTCCTTCAAAGAAAAATTGTTCCAACCCATACTCTAGACAGAAAGACACATATATGTTCCACTTATCCTCAAATTCGTTATGCTCCTTTAACAAAGAGAAATGTAGGTTCCATGAGATTCATCCCTTAGGATAAGCCACAGTGAAACAGAAGATGGTGAGTTTTTCTATTGAATATTCTATATCTGTGAATGACTGTAGAGTTCACAGCATTTGGCCAGAGTCGCACAGATTAGCCAAAGACTATCATTGAGTTTAATGCAGCTCCATCACCATTCATTTATTTAAATGAATAATTTAACAAATATTTACTCAGCACCTATTATGTAGCAGGTGCCATTTCTATGAATTTGAGATATATTCCTGAACAAAGCAGACAAAGATACATGCCTCATGGAGCTTACATTTTAGCAGGGAGAGTTATAATGAATAAGTAAATGTTATGGAGTGATTGAAGGTGACAATTGCTAAAGAAAAAAGAAAATGTGAGAAACGATTGAGGATGCTCAAATAGACACTGGAGTAGATCAGAGCATATTCCAGTATTAAATAAGAAAGTCAGGCAAAGAACGTACTAGAGATGTGGATATTTATTCTCCACTTGCAAACAGAAATAAGAAGACAAAAACTGCATAAGGATAATAGATAAAGAGCAAGGTACTAGCCCTTTGGCCCAAGGTACTCACCTAAACTCGGTTTTTCTTTGAAAAGACGCTCCACAAGTCGTTTGCTTGCTGTTTGACTTTTCTCAGCAATATTCTCAGCCAGGTTTTCAGTGCCTTCCACAAGGAGGGTCACTCCTTTCCCTAATCTTTGTAACTCATTTAACACATTATTTTCCATCAAATCATCAAAAATGTTGTCAAGAAAGTTCTTGGCAATGGACTTCACCTTGTTCATAGGATCTTCTTTAGGTCTCTTGTCTGGAAAATGATAGGATTTTAGATTTGGGCAGGACCTTAGATATGTGAATCTAAGCCAGTGATTTTTAACATGTGGGAGAATTTCCTGAAAAGTTTGATAAGCAGAGCTTCCTGCAACCCATCCCCAAAAGTTCAGATTTGATAGATCAGGGTGGAGTCTGTGAATTTTCATTTCTAACAATTCCTGATGATGCCAAAGACCACATGTAGAAAAACACTTATCTTGTTCGAGCCCATATCTTTTCATAGATGCGGAAACTGAGGTTCAGAGATGAGGTTCAACTTTACTAAGGAGCTTAATGATAGCTGACTCAGTTCAGTCTTTGTATCATCCATCATGCCTCCACCTCCTGTCACTTTTTATCAACACTTACTTTAAAAACACAATATATTCAATGTGTATAGCAGTACAACATATGCAGATTACACATTTTGTTTCCATGGGCATGGCTGGCAGGGAAGCAGTCTGTATACAGAGACTGAGAGCCCAAACTACAGCTGGTTTGCTTGCTGTGCAATTGAAAGGTCATACAGAGGGCAGAAATAGGGGGGAAATGGCAAGTTACTCTGTTAAACAACATGGAGTCTCAGCCCAACGAGAGAATGCTTATAAAATGGGGGAGAATTCTGGGTCAGTATGAGTCCAAAGAAAGGCCTAAAATCACAGGAAGGTTTTCAGAACACAAGTCCAGAATTGTCACATTTTCCTTTTTTTCCAAGAAGCTGTTAATACATTAACTAAAATACCTTGTGTGTTAGCATACTCATTACTGTGCCCCAAGCCCCCATCCCCAGAGAAAAAGAGTTTTGTCTTGTGAATGCCCCTTTCAGGGCTTCTTCTCTTCTCTCATCCTCTTTTCCTGAGCTATAAATCCCCCCCAAATACAGTCATAAACAACGGAAAAACCGGGGCCACTCACCAGCCATTGCTGCTCCGGCTCCTTGGGCAGGAAAAGCAGTGATAGTGAAAGCAGACCTCTTCCTTTGCTCTCAGAGGGCGGGTGTGTTAATATTGCCTAATTTAGAAACTGCAACTTCTCAAACTCTCGTTCTTTGCCAGGATAGAATTTGACTCCTCCTCTGATATGTAACTTCTTTCCTTTGGAAAACAGGGAGCAAAACCTGTCTTTTCTCTTTGATACAACAGTCATCAGAAGAGCAGAATGAAATACACACAGTAAATGTCTGTTCTGTTTTTCAGTCTATTTTTAACACAGTTAAATCAAATAGTCCCCTATTTGTCTTTGTGGCACCCGTTAGCCACTAAATGGCAGGGAGGCCTCACTTGACTGACGCCTGCTCAATCTTGGCTGGAAGTGAAGTGTTAATGTAGAATGCTTGAGAGGAATGAGAAACTGACTCAGAACTGCTTAACTGTGAGAGGAGTACCGCTGTTTTAATAACCCAAGTGAGTAATCTCTTTTCTCTCTTTCATGATCTGCTTACTTGTCATTTCTGGGTATTGTTTATTTACATATTCATGTGTTTATTTTTTATTTGCTTAATGCAAAAGGGACTTGCTTACTTAATTTAAATAATAATAGATTGCCATTAAAATTAAACAATAGAAAAAAAATTTTAATGGAGTAAGATCATCCAGCTTCTTTGATTTCAAACTACAAAGTAACCACAATTTTATGTTTAGTTTGTATATTTGTGAATTTTTTCCTATGCTTTAAAAAAACCCAAAATGTGAAGGTTCCTCACTGCCCTCACTTCTGTAATCCAGATCTAGGCTACCACCAAATCTGAATTTTTGCAATAGCCTTCTAGTATAAGTGCTCTTTCTGCTTCTCCCTTGGCCCTGTCATTGCATTCTCATCTCAACCCCATAGCCAGAGTAATCCTGATAAAATATAACTCTGATAATTTAATTAATTCTTCTACTCAAAGTTTTTCCAAAAACTTTCTACCTTAGAGTAAAAGTGAAAGGTCTTTTATAGTAATGGTACCTTGTATGATCTGCACCTTGGTCACCTCCCTGATCTCATGTCCTAACTTTCCCCTATGCCGTTTGCTCCGGATTCTAGCCATGCTAATTTCCTTGCTACTCCTCAAACACACGAAGCACACTCCCACCCCAGGCCATTTCTACTTGCTTTTCCTCTGCCTGGAATGTTCTTCCTTAACATGTCTTATGGCTGGCTCTCTCTCTTTCTTCAAGTTTCTGCTGCTGATAAATTTGTATGTATTTTGTTTGTTATCTTTCTCTTATCATTTTACTATATGTTTTCCTGAGGACAAGGACTTTGTTTTGTTTTCTGTTTGATGGCCAATACCTGATGTAGAGTCAGTTTTTAATATTTAAGGTTGAATGAATGAGTGGATCTTTTGTTGATTATATGCATTGTAAAAATTCCTTTCCCTGGTTTCTGCAACTTGTATTTTTTTCCCACTACTTATGAATTCACTTTTATTTTTATATATTTCATAAGTTTTATTGAGGTATGATTCATTGTACTTATTTAACGTATACCTTTTGATGAGTTTGGACATACGCATACACTCATGATCCCATAAACACAATCAAGGTGTAACATGGTATACAATACTCTTAAATTTTGTTAAATTTATTAATATTTGTCTATGAAATATGCTTTCTGAATCATGTTGAAAAATCCCCCCTATCTGAATCTCATAAAGATATTTTTCTATGTTTTTTTCCTCCTTAAAGCTTTACTACATCTGGTATATTCTTTTGTGTGTGGCTTGAGGTAGCAAAGTGCATGTGTGCATGTTGCATGTGTGTTAGAAAAAGTGTGTGTTTTTAAAAATAATTTATTGAATCACTTATTTTACCTCTGCAATTTGCCATATTCTATATTGTTCATTTCTAACCTTTGTATGCTTTTTTGTGTGTCTGTTTGTCCACCTGTGTACCAACTGATAGAGCTTTATATTATGTCACGATTTCATGATTTGTATTTAGGCAATCTTCCAACCCCTTTTTATTTTTTTTTTCTTAGCTATTTTTACTACTTTACCTTCCAAACAAAGAGTGTAAACAACCTGTCAGGTTCAAGAAAATGCGTTGTTATGTTTTCTTTGGTATTCTGTTGTGTTTATAGATTAATTTGGGAGAAAAATTAAAATCTTTACATTTATTTGTCTTCTTATCAATGATGGTGGCATATTTCTCATGCTAGTTAAATCTTTTATGTCACTAATTAATTTCTAAAAATAGTTTCCCATGTATACCTTGCAGCTTTTTGTTTAGAATTTTCTTTAAATATATTACAATATTTGTTGTTATTGCAAAGACAGGATTAAAAAAAAGCAAAAACATTTTCTACTTGAATAGCAAAGCCTATTAAATTTTGTATATTTATCTGAATTCTTGCAAATGTGGAGATTTTATTATTAATTCTAAGAGATTTTCAATGAATAAAATCATATTTTCCAGGATCTGTGATGATTTTTTTCTTGTGCTTCAAACTTTTATACTTTTGGTTTTATTTTCTTGGAATTCAGTGGCATCAATATCAGAAGTGACTTTAATCTGAGGAATACCACAAGGTGCCTGTGACTTCAAACTTGCCAAACAAATTGTTATCCTTGGTCATAGTCCTCTCACCTTCGTAAACCTGAATGATTGCACCAGGCTGGTAGTCAGAGTAGGTAGTGAAGGTCTGTGTCTGTTTGATAGGAATGGTAGTATTGTGCTTGATGAGGACAGTCATGGCTCCACCAGGTTTCAATGCCAAAGGGAAGAGGAGTGACATCCAACAACAGCAAATCTTGAACATTTTCAAATTTGTTTCCAGATAAGATGGCTGCACCATAAGCAGCAGCCTCATCAGGATTGATGCTCTTATTCAACTCTTTTCCATTGAAGAAGTCCTGTAAGAGTTTCTGTATCTTGGAGATATGGGTAAAACCACCCACCAGGACAATATCATGGATCTGGGTCTTGTTGAGCTTGGCATCCCGAAGGACATTCTCTGCAAGGTCCAGGGTGCCACAGAAAATGTCAGCATTCAATTCTTCAAATCAGGTACTGGTGATAGGGATATAGAAATTGATTCCTTCATAGAATAAATCAATCTCAATCAATCTCAGTACTGGCCTCAGTGCTGGAAGAGATAGTATGCTTAGCACGTTCACAAGCAGTACGCAGGCGACGGACATCCCTCTTGTTCTCACTGATGTCCTTCTTATGCTTGTGCTTGAACTCTACAATATGATGGTTGACCATTCAGTTCTCAAAGTCTTCTCCACATAAGTGGGTATCCCCCAGCTATAGATTTGACCTCAAAGAGTCCATCTTCAATTGTGAGAATTGACACATCAAAAGTGCCACTTCCTAAGTCAAAGATCAGCTCCAATCTTTTTGTCTAAGCCATAATCAATAGCAGTAGCAGTTGACTCACTGATGATTCTATGTACATGGAGACCAGCAATAGTGTCAGCATCTTTGGTAGCCTGATGCTGAGAGTCATTGAAATAAGCAGGTACTGAGACGACAGCATTGGTCATAGTCTTCCTAAGGCAGACTTCTGCAATTTCCTTCAAGTTTGTCAAAACCATAGATGACGCTTCTGGATAGAAAATTTTGTCTCCCCTTTGTATTCTACTTGGACCTTGGGCTTGCCAGCATCATTCACCACCATAAAGGGGCAATGTTTCATATTAAATTATACAATAGCATCATCAAATCTATGTCCAAACAGGCATTTGACATCAAAAACCATGTTGGTGGGGTTCACTGCAACTTGATTCTTTGTGGCATCATCAATCAATCATTCGGTATTAGTAAATGTGACATAACTTGGCAAGGTTCAGTTTCCCTGATCATTGGCAATTATTTCCACTTTTCTGTGCTGGAATACACCCACACAAGAATAAGTGGTTCCAAGATCAATGCCAACTGCAGGTCCCTTAGACATGGTTGCTTGAGTGTAGGCAAAGAAGAGAGATCCCGACAGCTGCTCCACATTTAATTGATTAGTTTTTTTTTAAAGGACCAGCTTTTGCTTTTAATGATCTGCTTAATTTTTTTATTACCATCTCACTAATTTTTGCTTTTTAATATTTATTACTTGCTTTCTTCTGTTTTCTTATTGATTTGGTATTTTTCCAACTGCTCAAAATGAATGATTAGTTGATACTTTTTTTTCTTTCTTGTTTGTGCGTGTGTGTACATAGTTATATGTTTGTATAAGTATTTGCAATGTGCATATATATGTGTGTATATATATATATATTTTGCCATCTGTATGGTGATGTGTGACACTCTTTATGTTATTGGGTTTCTAGTACTCTCACACAGTAGAACGAGGTCTCTATAATATGTATTTTTGATCTTTGTGATATGTTTCATGTTTCCAGATGGACAAGCTAAGTCCAGACATATAAACATCATGAATCTTTGTAGTGTTAGGTAACACTTATAATTCACAATTCAGTTAAGCCTTACAATTCATAACCCTTACAGATTCAGTCTCTTATTACTTTGGAGAGACAATGCAGTACAGTGGTTAATAACTCAGATTCTAGATTAAGTCAAATTGAATTCAAATCCTTTTCTGGCTACAACTGTATGAGTTCAGGCAAGTTGTTCAAGCTCTATGTTCTTATGTTTTATTACCTATAAAATGGGGATATTGGTAATAATTCATTTATAGAACTCCTATGAAAGTTAAATTTGTTACTTATATATAAAAAATCTTTATAATAACAAAAATACAATAATCCTTACATACAATATACATAAATATTAACAATTATGGTTGTATTTGACACCTAGAGCATCCTTTTATCTTATTTAATTTAGTTCAGCTATGTACCAAAATATTTATTCGGCATTCTATGTGTATGTAATAGAAGTGCTACATCTTACTTAGTAGCTCAGATGGCCGTGTTGCCAAAATTCTTCTACCAATAGTCACCCTTTCAGAAATGTTAACATTCTCTCTTCCATTGCTGACACTCCCCATTTGCTTTGCTGTCCTTTACCTGTTGACATTTCTATTTCATACAAACACACTAAGGTTATACTATCTTAAACCAAAAGCCCCATTTATTTTAGACAAGATCCAAGTACTTGTTAAAGAATAAAATTTTCCTGAAGTTTGGAAACATACACACATCTGGAAAGAAAATAATCAACAATAAAGTAAATTAACTTATAGTAGGAATAAAGGAAGATACATGGGAATAATTTGCTAAACTCATAGTTTACTGAAAAAAAATTCTCTGAACCTATGATGCTGGTTAAGAAATAAATTAAGGGCCAGTCGACTGGCCGTTGGTTAAGAGCAGGCTTGGGACACCAGCTCTGAGAAGCAGGGCCCTGGTTTGGATCCCACATGAGGGCCAGTGACACTGCCCTCTACAGCTAAGGTGTTGAATAATGGCTCGACCTGGAGCTGGCACCATTTCCTTTCATCCTGCCGTGAGTCTGCCG